AGAGACACACGACGTCACAGACACACAACACCAGGTTCTCCAGGTTCTCACGGTGGTGACGGTAAACGGTCCGAATGACGTCGACTGATGAGCTTCAGCCCAGTAACGTTCACACTTCCTCTGGAGATACACAATAAAACACAATCATTATTAGTATTATTGTTATTATTATTATTATTATTATTATAAAAATCAAAGTCTGCATGTTTGACTGAACACAAGCAGAAAATAAGAGACACAAAGACAGTTCTGATGTTTAAAAGAAAACTTCTATTTATGGAATAAAAAGATAAAACTTAATTAAGTCAGGATGTAAATGAGATAAAAAACCACAAAATCTGAACGACTGGATTCAAAACGTCACATTTATGAGAAACAAGTTTGAGAGAAAAGAACAAAACAACAAAAGCTCCAGTTAAAAAGTAGAAATGTGGATTTTAAAGTGAAATATTTCGGTGTTTGGTTTTAATCTGACACGTTTTTATTTCAACATCTTTACAGGCTGAAGTTCAGGAGAAACGATGAAACGTAAAAAAGAACAAATTAAAAACAATCACACGAGGACCTCATCAACAACAATCAAAGTCTTATTTCACCTTCCCCATCTCGATCTCCCTGCAGGCCATGACTATCACCTGGAACACAGAACCAGACGTTAGTCAGAGCCGCTGACAGACTCTTCTGTTCAATCTGTGAGTCATTATAATGCCGTGTGCGGCTCGGACTACTTCCTGGAGCTCGCTGTGTGTCGGACCTTGACGTCGTTCTGCCAGATCATCCTCCAGAAGTCGGTCAGAGTCAAACTCAGAGGACCCTGACAGGCGATGTAGGAGGAGGACGCCCCCTGCAGGACCAGCACAGCGTTACAACAACAGACAACCAACAGGGTCATTTTAAATCAGCCAGAACCTCCAGAACCGTCTGGTTCTGTATCCACAGTAACTTTAGTTCATGAAGCAGAGTTCTACCTTCATTACTGATATATTCATAGTTTAATGTGTTTTCTAGAACGGTTTCATCTCAGTGAGCTCGGTTCCGTCTTTAGATTCTCCTCTCACAGAGTCCAGTTCTGGTTCTGTCCGGTTGTGATGTGTGATCTGGTACCGACGCCTGACGATGCTGCAGGAACCGTCAGGGTTTCATTTATTCAGGAAATACGACATCACATCTCACATTTTATCGTTGTTAAAGTAAACGATCAGAAACAAACAAACAAACAAACAAACAAACAATGAGACAAACCGACTCGAGGCGATCAACAACCGGAAAAACCCACAACGTGACATGAAATAACAAAAATGAGACGCTCACAGAACCAGGTCCAGTGTTCAGACTGAGACACCTGGATGGATGTAGAACTGATCTGGTGTCAGGTTCTAGCAGAACCCAGATGTGTTCTTCCTCCTAAATGTCATGTGTCTATCTGCTGTACTGATGAAGTTCTGAGGCTCAGAAATGATGGAAACAGTCCATTAAAGTGATCAATCTGGACCCTCCTCTGTGGACTTCAAGGACCTGGACCTCTGGAACATTCACAGTCTGGAGGTAGAACTCTGGTCAGTGGATACAGAACCAGATGTTCTGAGGAGGTTCTGGTGGACTGATGATGATGATGGAACCGTTACCTGGATGAAGCTGGCGTTGATGTAATCATTGTCAGACTCCGACGTCAGCAGAGACAGAACAACCCGAGACTGGTCATCTGCACACACACACACACACACACACACACGGATTCAGTAACGCACCTGTACAGGACCGGTTCTGCTGACCCGGTCCGTCGGTTCTAATGCCAACACCTGGTCACTCGCCAAGCAGCCAATCAGGGAGCAGCAGCAGGTGGACGGCGTCAGTTACAACAAGCAGCAGAAAGGCGGACGACTGGGACGACACGGAGACGCAACGAGACACAAAACAACACAAAAATAACACAAAACAACACAAAGAGACACAAAGAGACACAACACAACAAAAAAAACACAAAGAGACACAAAACAACACAAAACGACACAAAGAGACACAAAACGACACAAAACGACACAAAGAGACACAACACAACAAAAAATGACCACAAAGAGACAAAAAACAAAACAGAGACACAACAACACACACAAAGAGACACAAAGACAAACAGAGCAACACAACGAGACAGAAAACGACCACAAAGGGAGACAAACATCAGATCCTACAACAAGACACACAAACTCCAGAAACACTGTGTGAACGCTGTGTGTGTCTGTGAGTTGTGTAGCAGCAGGTGTGTGTCCTCAGACTGCGTTGTGTAGCCGTTGTGTTCCTACAGGGCAGGATGTCCTTGTATCGGTTCTTCTTGATGTTCTCCTTCAGAGCTCCGGCGTCGCTGCTCAGACTCAGTTCTCTCCTCAA